CACACCCACCATCCCCTCTCCCCAGTTCTTGGTGACTTGCACTGCCACCATCCCCTCTCCAAAGTTCTTGGTGACTCTCACACACCCACCATCCCCTCTCCCCAATTCTTGGTGATTCTCACACACCCACCATCCCCTCTCCCCAGTTCTTGGTGACTCTTGCACACCCACCATCCTCTCTCCCTGTCTCTGTGCCCCTTGCACACCCACCATCCCCTCTCCCCAATTCTTGGTGACTCTTGCACACCCACCATCCCATCTCTCTACACCCTCAGCATTCTCAGAGGTGACCTGCTGCAGGCAGGCATTTGGGGACAGGGGGCTCTGGGGACTACAAGCACACCAATGGGTGACACACATTGGTGTGGCAGACACGCTGAGGGGAYACTYCTGGCTGCCTGCCCCCAGACTGTGRCTCYCTGCTGACTCCACACATTTGGGGAGGCTGGGAAAGCTCAGCAGAAACTCGGCACGGGCCCAGTTTCAGCCCGTGGTTTCGGCAAAAGGGGAAGCACAGCCGGCGGTGGTGACAGGGCAGGGACCCGCACAGCGAGTGTCCCCCCAGCAATCCCGCTGCAGCCCCTCCATGGGGTGGCCCTGGCACACACCTGGAGTACTCCAGCCTGGGCAGCAGCAGGTACACCATGATGCAGATGACGATGAAGATGTCAGCAGTGAGGAAGTAGGCCAGGGCGCTGTCGGTGACATCAGCCGCTGCCGCCAGGTCTATCAGGGAGGCCACGGCGCTGATGGTGCCACCCATGGCCTGGCCTGTGTGGGGTACAGAGATGGCACTGTCAGGGATAAGGAAGTGTCCTCTTCTGACACTTTCTGACCTGCACAGCTGCCCGGGGCACACAGCTCAGCCTCTGCCCCAAATGTGGATCAGGGTGCAGCTGCACAAGCCACCTCCTCTCCATTTTCCCACCTGAGAGATTTGTGGGGCGGCAGCACCACAGTCCAGGTGCCATCCTACATCCCCTTCCAACACAGCACAGCGCACACAAGGGGCAGGATGGAACCCCAAGTCCTGCAGAAAAAACCCAAACTTTTTCCAAAGCCTACATCTGGCCTTCCACTGGCACATATATAATCAGCTGCCCTTCTGCACTCCCCCAGATGGGAATTCAAGCCAGCAGCAGCAGGAATGCCATCRCAGGGATATGATGTTTTCCTTCTCTGAGATAAACTCATTAAAACACTCCTGTCTTGGCCCCAGGGAAAATTTTACCCTCCTGATTTTTCCCCCCTTCTCCTCTTGACTTGTCAAGTGTTCCATAGCACATTTATAATGTTATCAATGCTCCAGGGAGCTCATCACTCACAGCTCCCAACCTGCCCCTCATCATTCATGGAAAGGCTGAACGGAAAGAAGGAAACAAGGCAAAGTTGCAGGAAAAAGAGGGCAGAGGGATGTCACTTCCCTTCCCCCTTCTCCCTGCACCCAGCAACTCTCCAAGGTCAGTTTATGGATATTTACAGAAACCAAAGCTCATGTGACCCAGCAAGTTTCTCCTTCAGCAACTTCCCTTTATCTTTAAGGCCAAGTTAAGCTCCCAAAACAAAACCCCAGACGTGGGAGAGAGAAAACCACAGAGCCGAGCAGGGAAAGTCCAGGAGCACTGTCCCAGAGGGATCACCAACCTGAGATCAAAGCCTGCAGGTTCCTCATGGGGAAGCAGCTGCTCAGGCCCAGGATGCTGCTGGAGAAGACTGTGGAGGCACTGCTGACCACGGCCACACAGCCCACGGTGAGGGCGAAGAAAGRCGTGGTCCAGGCAGAGGTGTCCACCTTCACCAACACCGTGATCACCAGGAAAACAGCCAGCATGACAAACAGGGACGACAGGATGCGGACACTGGCGGGAACCCTGGGGACAAGGGCAAGGAGACACTGCTGCATTTCACACCCCAGAGCCAAGGTGCCACACGGGAGGACAGTGGATCCTGGGCTGGCAGAAGGAGCAGAGAAAACAGAGAGAGGTGGGGGGAGATGAGGAATAAGAAGCAGAGAAGTGAGGGAGAGAAGCAGGGAGCTGGAATCTGGAGATCAGGCACACAAACATGCAGGAGTTTCATTGGGATAGGGAAGGGCACAAATGAAGGATGAGGCTGTTTGAGATTTAAGCTTGCAACAAGATGCAGATGGTRCACTTCATATCCCAGTTTAAGAGCTGGTAAGACCAGGGCAAGGTGCTGCTCCTACCTGGATGGATTTGGCTTTTTTGAAAAAAAATAACTATAAAGGTATTTTTAAGAGGGAAGACTGTTCCCAAGCAATTAACCAAGGAATTTTTAAAAAATTTATTTAGTGAAGCCAGCTGCAGGCACATGTGGAGTAAGGTACTTCCCCTGCTTCATTTCAGCCAGGGGCAAAGAGAGGAATTATTTTGGCTGCACGGGCAGGCTGAGCTCAGGATGTCCCCCCAAGGGAAGGGCAGCCTGAGCTGGTAAGACAGAAAAAAGGCAGGAGCAAAGCCAGGGRGAAAGGTGGCTCAGGGACTTGGGATTGGAGCAACACTTACTTGTTGACAAGCAAGAAATTTCCAATCAGGCACAGCACGGAGGGCACGGTGGAGGCGATGGAGATGTAACTCTCAAAATAGTCCTGCCAGGAAAAAAAAAAAACCAAACACAAAGCAAAGTAAAAAAGGTTATAGGAGGCAACAACATGTGAATTTGAGGTCCTAAATATGACACAACAGGGAATTACAGTGTAGGTGTGAACCTTGCTGTATTGTAGCACGTGTTGCAAACTGCTCAGGGCAATGGGAATTCTGGGATTTGCCCTCCCATAGCCCCAGACTGTTTCAGGAAATTAGGGACATAAATTCAGAAGGAAGAAAAATAAACAGTGAAGGAAATAGCTGCCTCACTGCTGCACACCATCCAAGTGTGTCTGCTCCCTCTCTTCCCCTTGAGGGGCTTAATCCCATTTTCTTGCTGCAGGAGCCTCAGCCAGCAGGTAGCACRATGCTCACAAAGAGGAGGATGACCTACACATCCACCCCTATCATGACAGGTTTTCATTTTCTGCTACAGAGATGGGGCCACATCACGCCCAAGCAGGAGAAGGCACTTGGCAAGTTTTCTCTGCATGTTACATTATTTTTTTTACAGCTTTGCATCACTTTTAATCAGTTTACTAGCAGGTTCATCTCTTCTTCCCTATCAGGAGCTTCACTGGAAGCAACAGGAAATCTAATAATCATTCCTAGAGGGACCAGATAGGCAGAGATTTAAATGCCTGTGCTTAGGGCATCARCTCAGCCAAGCAGGAGGCTCAAAGCTGAGTGGCCACACGATGAATTCTAGGACAGAAGACAAAGCAAAACGCAAACCTGGCAGCTAAAACTCAGACTTATTTACCCAACTATTTAAAACAAACCTCCAAACCATCCTGGGGATASTCAATCAGTTTCCAAGTTAATTTTCTTCTGCTTTTGGGGAGGAAAAATGACTAATGCTTTGCACCAAGCAGAAGTGTACTCAAAGTTACCCAGCAGGGATGCTGCATTTTGAGCATCCCAGGGAAATATTCATTCATYCCCAGCAAATGGGCTCACATTGGCAGCAAGAAGAGAATTGGGCAAGTTTTTAAGAGCCCTTGCACCTCACTTTTAATGCAGCAGCATAATGGTGGGCAAATTTAATCCATTCCTAGGCCACTGGAAAATACCAGGTTCCATAGTCCTCTCTCCTGTTTGTTGGGTTTCAATCTATCTCCAGTGGCAACTCTTCTCTCTCCATAGGTATTTGTACCCTTCACAGAAATGCTTTAATTTTTGGCACTGCAGGATGTACCTAGTTCTTCTCCCTTTCTGCTGAGCCCTTAAAATAACCCCCAAAGCAAACCTGACATCCTCCTCCCATATCCAGGTCTGACAGGGGTAGATGTCATCCATAATGGAAGTGTTTGATCCCCTATTARCTTCAAACACTATGCCATTTTGCCTTAAAAAACCCAAACTAGAACAAACCATCGTGGTGGCAAATTAGTTGCAAGATATTTTTGCAAAGTAGTTTCTCTTCTGCTCCAGCCTGGACTGGGCTCCTGCCAGGCTGGAAAAAGGAATCCAAGTCCATGACGGTGGCTGAAGGCACTGGAGTGTTACCTGGAGCATGGGGTGTGAAATTAGCAGCAGTGAAAGGGCTGGAGCCAGGAGCAGCCTGTCAGTCAGAGGTGCATCCTTCCRTGTGCAGGCAAACCTTCCTGCTGTGGCAGCAGGGCACAAACTGGGCTGACTGGTTTAATTCTGATCATACTTGACTGCCACAGAAAAGCCACGTGGCTTTTCCTCGGGGAAAGGAAAAAGCATCGTGCCACAGCCACGCGGGAAGAGGAGAAACACTTTCTGAGCAAAGAAATGGGTGATCCAGACAGGGATACAGCTGTGCAAGGAAACACTGAGTGATGCTCTACTCAAACCCAGCTTTTTCCAAGAGGATAAGCCTGATGTGGAGGCAGTGAGGAGCATGTGGGATGYAGGGAATATGAGAGAACAGCATGCCATGCAGTGACAGACCATTTTTCACCCCTCTCTGAGCACCCTCCCTAGCCCAGAAGCAGATAATTTTAATCTTCAGGCAGTGCAGGAGTTTGGGCACCATCAGTTTAAKTCAGTTCCTTGCTTTACATCAGCACACCTGTAGCATCCTGCTACARGCACTCCCTTTCCATCAAAAGCACAGCTGACTTAACAACAATTAAAATTAAAAGAGCTGTGSGTGTACTGGAGTGAGAAATCCAAGGGGAACTGTGGGTGTCACTCATAGCTCCATGTTTATATAAAAACAAAAAAGTGYCCAAACCACCTGAACAAGCTCAGCCACGCGAGGAGTATGCAATGCAGCCTCATCCCTCCAATGCTTTTTCCAGCCACAGTGAAACAAAGCAATAGATTTATCAGGGAGGCACAGGAAAACAATSCTGCTGTGGCAGGAGGAGCAAAAGAAGGAAGCCTTTCTGAGGAGAGGAAAAGAGGCCATAAACCTGCCACCATTGCCCTGTGACAAGGTCTTCACCCCATATGCCACAAGCCAGATGTTCATCACTGTAAGGGGATACTCGTGTCACACCTGCCAGATCGTGAAGGACACAAAACAGACCACCACAAAGATATCTTGCACTGTAGAAATTGCCCTATGAAAGGTTAARCTCTGTTTGTGTAGATTCACCTTGAAACTTAGCAGTCCAAACACAGCTGGAAGACCACAAAATGAGTCGAAGCATCTTTCCTGCAGCTATTTGTAAAYAACCCCCAAATAAACTTCTCCCTCTGGTTTGCAGCAGGTGAGACCCAGAGGATGYTCACTTACCTTCTGGGGAAGCAGAGAGGGAAAAAGAGCAAGTTAGGAAGGAACACAGGTTATTTTTTTCTGCCTTGAAAGCACCACTCACCTGCAGGTCTGACGCAGCCTGCCCCACCGGGCCTGCCTCCTCAGAGCAGTTCTGCAGCTTGTACCTCCAGTAGTGTTTGGCCGTGATGAAGAAATTCCAGGGCAGGAGGGACCCGATGCCCAGGAGAAAAAATATCACGTAGGCGCCATGCCAGCGGTCACTTGGCTTCTGCCGGCTGTACCTGCTCCCCACGGGATCCTCCAGCAGGGGCTCCTGGTCCGGGGCAAAGCTGACAGCTGCTGGGTGCATCATGCTGGGAAAAACAATCACCCACAAGGATATTGTCACACAAGGGTTCCAAAMTGCTGCTCACGAGCTGCGGCTCCATCCCCCCGCTGGCCCCACAAAATCATGGAATCAGGGAATGGTTGGAAAAYCATCCCACTCCAACCCTGCTGCCATGGCCAGGGGCACCTATCACTGGACCAAGTGGCTCAAAATCCTGTCCAACCTGGCCTTGGGCACTGCCAGGGATCCACAGCTTCTCTGGGCACCCTGTGCAGGGTCTCGGATGAGTGAGCTGAACCATGGATGGAAAGGTACAGGAAAAGGGACTGAGACTCGGCACATTCCACCCATATTTTCGTCCATAATTAATAATTAACCCATCCCCTTGGACTTGCAGGAGCGAGAAACCTCACTGAGCTCCTGAGAGGCTCCAAAACCATCCAACAGCTGCCAAACCAACAGCGCCGCCGGGCTCTGCTGAGCAAGGTGTAAACTCGCACTAACACCGCCGGGCTTTCCGAAAAGATTTGTAAACTACTACAAACAGCAGCCGGGCTCGGCGGAGCGGCTCGGAAACCCAACGCGGCGTCACCCGGCCGTGCAAMATGACTCACAACAAAGACACGCGGCGGCAGACGGCTCTGCAAAATTACCTGGGCTGGGCAGAGGGACCGGCACCCACCGCAGCCACACCGGGCCGGGAGCCGTGGAACCGAGCGCCGGCGAAACCCCCGCCCAGAAGGGCCGGACAGAGCGCGGGGGAGGCGGAAATGGCGGAAA